TTGCCTTGCCGAAAAATCCGACGTGGACGCCGGTCATCTGGCATGGCTTCACCGGCGCTAACATGGATAGTTTTTTAATATACTTTTGAATTTTTATTTTATTTTTTTGAATTTTTGAATTATTCTTTTTGAATTTTGAATTTTTCTTTTCCTTTTTTTCTTTTTTTTTTCGGTCCAGCGAGGGTAACCGGCGACCCTCGCCAGCTGCGAAGCCCTCACCCAGATGGGCAATGGCCACCTTGCCCTCCACCGCGAAGGCTTGGACAAGGGCTTGCTCGCGGTCGCTTAGATCTGGCGACGGCCTTTGTGGCCTTGCCCATTGCCGGCGAGGCCGCGATGGCCTTGGCCGGGCCTTCGTGGCAGAGGGCAAGGTGGCTGTCACCCATTTGGGTGTGGGCTTCTGTGACATTTCAAATTTCGGCCCATTTTTGGGATTTATAAAACGTATAATTCGTCAATGTGCTTATAGTAAAATCTCGCCCGGGAACTGATCACTCTCGGTTATTGTTTTTAAAATTGAGATTTCGCTAGAATCGCATTCGATCGAATTTGGCCGTTATTTAGAGCCCAAATTTTGGTGTCGAATTTCTCGGAGTTCCGGGACGAATTTAATTGGACGGTGTCGATATTATTGTGGCCAGCCTCGATATTGCCCGGGATATGTGAAAAGTGAAATTTTGATCGGGTGCGGATTTGGATTAGTAGACCTCTATCGTAGTGTGTTTTAGTTAGTTTCTTCTGACCCTTTTTCCTAATTATTAATTAGGATTTTCGTGGACCGTTAGATCGATTTTGGATTTGAACCGTGACCGTTAGATCGCACTCGAGGACAAATTATGACTTTTGTCCCCTCTCTCTCTCTCTGCCGCGTCTGCGCACGTCTGCCCATGCATGCAGACGTCCCCTCCCTTTTTCCCGCTCACGTCTCCTCCCTCTCTCTCTTCCTTTCTTTTCTTTTCGTTTTCCTTTCTTCCTCTTCTTCTTCGTCTCTTCTGCTTCGTGCTTGCTGCTCGCCGCACGACCAGTCACTGCCGACCGCCGCGCGCCGCCGCCGTCGCCAGCCAGCTCGACCGCCGCGCCGCACCGTCCGCCAGTCATCGCCCCCGACCCGACTATTCTCTCCCTCGACTCCGCGCGACAGCAGCTCGCCGCTGCGTCCGCCGCGACCAGGCTCTACCGAGCCGCCGGCCAGTTCGTCCGGCCGCTCGCCCGGCGCCGCCTCCCTGCCAGCCGCCACGCCGTGTCGCCCCAACCGCCGCCGGTTCGCCCCCCCTCAGCCTCAGCTCTCCCCCTCTCGTCACCCCCGACCCAACTGACCTTCCCCTCCACTTCGGCGCCGTCGCCGCCACGTCGCCGGGACCAGCTCGCCGCCGTGCCGCCGTCGTCCCTGCTGCTCGACGACGACGCTGCTGCCCCCTGCTCCGGCCGAGATAGTCGCCGAGCTCACCACCGCCGCCGTCGTACCTGCCCGCCGCCGTAGCTCGCTGCCGTCGCCGTTCGACTGTCGTCCCGGCCAGCCCAGCTCGCCGGCCGAGCGTGCCCAGCCGTGCCCGAGCTCGCCGATCGAGCGTACCTCGCCGTGGCCGGACTGCCCCTACCCGTGCCGAGCTCGCCCCGGGCGGTGGCCGGACAGCCCAAGCCACTGCCCCAGCCGTGGCCCGTCGCCCGTCGCCGTGCCCTGCCGCGGCCAAGCATTTTGCCCGTGGCCAAGCCCGTGGCCGTGGGCCGCGCCGAGAATTTCGCCCGTGTGCCGAGCCGTGGCCGAGCCCCGCGCCCTCGCCCGTGCCGATCCCAGCATTGTTCACCCTGGCCATTTTGGGCCCGTGTGGATTTTTCCCGGGCCAAATTTAGGTAAGTGACTTCCTAATCCCTACTTAGTACTTTGGGTATTTATAGACTTGTTTAGGGGTTAATTAGTACCGGTTTAGGGGCTAAGCTTGGATTAGGATCAATATGTGAATGTGATAAATTGTTAGATGAAATTGTGGTGATTATGTGGCATAATTAGTGGTTGATTTATGTGGGTGCGATGACCAACTTGTCGTGGCGTTTGTGGGTGAAATTGACATTTGATTGGGCCGACTTGAATGTCGGATGGGTGGGCTTGTTTGGTGAACTTGTGAATGGAATTTGATTAGTATGACGTGTGAGAATGACAAATTGAATTGTGTGGCATGTGTACCTGTAAGAACGGGCTTGAGACATGTTGACGGTGGTCCGTAGAATGAAAGTTAAGGGACTTGAGACGTGTTGACGATGGTCCGTAGAAATGAAAGTTAACGGACTTGAAACGTGTTGACGGTGGTCCGTGAAAGGAAAGTTAGACCTGGGATGTGTTGACGGCGGTCTTTGGAAATTGATTGAATTGTGTGACATGTGTACCTGTAAGAACGGACTTGAGACGTGTTGACGGTGGTCCGTAGAATGAAAGTTAACGGACTTGAGACGTGTTGACGGTGGTCCGTGGAAGGAAAGTTCGACCTGAGGCGTGTTTACGCGGGTCATTGGAAAGAAAGAAATGTCCTAAGGCGTGGTTACGCGGGACTGAACCCGGATTGATCGGAGGGCTGACTTGAGGCGTGTTTACGCGGGTCGTGTGAAAGTGCGAAATGTCTAGTGAGGAACGGAGCCCGGCTTGATCTGAGGGCTGACCTGAGGCGTGTTGACGCGGGTCGTGTGAATGTGTGAAATGTCCAGTGAGGGACGGAGCCCGGCTTGATCTGAGGGCTGGCTTGAGGCGTGTTAACGCGGGCAGTGTGTAAGGACCTGGGAGGTCGTGGAAAGTTGTTTGGCCACGCATGCGAATTGAGTGTGATTGAATTGATTGAATATGCGTGGTTATGGCGTTTGAGTGGTGATGTTATGTTTCTGGATTATTATTGCATTATAGTGTTTAATTAATATGCAGAGTGGACGTGTGGACTGAGACGAGGTAAGTGCGTGAATGTGAACCCTGTACGTTATTGGTTAGATTGCATGTTAGACTTGTCTGGGTACGCATTGGCCTATGTGGGGTTTAGGGTGTTGCTTATTGAGACTCGTTCTCATGGTTATTATATAACCATTTCAGACTCTCAACCCCAACCATGAGTGGTCCGTCACAGCATTTTGGGATGCCGAGGAAGGGCCGATGGAGCAAGACTCGAAGACAAGCCCATGGAGTTGGTGAACCTTTTTGTATAGCTAGGCTAGTCTACCTGCCACCTGTTCCTTCTGATGATTATGGTGGATCTAACCGTAGGAGCCTAATGCCTGAATTGTACGACTGAATGTTATAAGTGACAGTCTTATATTTTTAGGATGTTTTTGGTTTGTGTTATTGTTACCTCCCTGTCATATTTTATTGTCTGAGTTGTTTTAAATTCGCTTCCGCTTGCATACTCATGTGAGTGTTTCTTTTGGGTCGGCGACGCATCCTGGGACGTCGCATTCAATACGACCAGCGAAGGGGTATCGCGAGTCCGTTGGGGTTCGGGGCGTGACAGCTTCATAGTCGGCGAGGTCGCCGGTGACCCTCGCTGGCCCTGAAAAAAAAACAAGTTAAAAAAGGAAAAGAAAAAAAACTAATAATCAAAATAAATAAAATTCAAAAAAAATATTTAAAAAATCCACGTCTAATGGAAAATTAATTAAAAAGCCATGTAGGATGGTTTGCCGGAAATGGCACTCAAATGATCAATTTTACTACAATGTGGCACTTAAGTGAGCGAAAAAAAAAGTTATGGCCTTCAAATGAACGCCATACGAAAGTTATGGCACTTGCGTTGTTCTTATACAAAAAATGTCATAATCAAGTTTCCCACTCAATTTTCAATGAAACTTTCGTAATTTATTCCTTAATTGTTGTCAAGTTAATGTCTAGCTTTGTGAAAAACTAAAAGGACATGATTTGCGATGAGAAAATGCCACCAGCAGGAGATTAGAGCTCAATTGCACACTTTCTAAAAAGGTGTAGGAGTCAATTGATTAAATAGAATGTTTAAGACTCGGTCAGCAAACAACAAAAATGCTTAGGACTTCGTAATTGAGAACATTTATTATTTAGTTGACACTTTCGGATAAAAAAAATATGAAGTTATCAATTACATAATAGATCAACGTATCTTTTAAGTAAGGCATATATTAGGATAATTTAGCAAATAATCTTAGGCAAGTTATTAGCATGTATTTGTTATTTGGAGGGAAATGAACTGTGGTTGGTGCAAAAAATAATAATTTGAAAGGAGGAAAAAAAGAAATTTTTTTTGGTTACCTCCTCTAGGGCATTACCATTAGTGTATCACACCCATTACGGAATATTCGATCTTAAATTTGAACTCTTTGTCCAACGAGAAAATCTTGAAAAAGGAGTATTTAGTACTTTCCCCTTTCGGTTTTATTCGAACTAATCTTTATATAACATAATTTACTTAATTAAATAGAACGTTATACATGAATGAAATGCTTTCTTTATCTTAAATTTAACAAATGATTACACGCATCGGTCGTGGAATACATTCACGTGCACCGCGGGCGATTTTAAATGGGACATATGGAGTCCTCACTCACTGAATACAACAAAATGTGAATAGAAGTGCCGTCCATCATACTTAATTGGTAACTTATGTTTGAGGTGTTTTTTTTCGTACATCGATACATTTCTTATCCCGACATGATTTATTAATTTTCCTTTTTGTATTTGTCGCTTGTGATCGGGTGCTTGTTGCAAGTTATTTTCGTGGAATCCACATCATGCAGACTCCTTATTCTTTCTTAACGCGAATGATATATCTATGCTTACGATGACGTCCCCACCATTTCCATAATTCTCTATAAAGGAAGAGGAAAATGCGACCTGGAAGTGCCGTCTCTTGGACTTAATTGTTGACTCATAGTCTAGTAGCCTATTTTCCACGGCTCTTTAGCTCATCCATAAATCCTCTATAATCACATCGATTAGACACTACTCTTACATCTCTCTCCTCATTATTAAACTCATCAGTATACTTTAGCTCTTGAAGATGGAGAGGAGGGACTCATCGAATGAAACAACAGTGTCGATGACCGATAGATGTGATGTCGAGTCACCACAGGGGGCTGAATTCGAGGTGTTCTTGAATTTCAGAGGGCCCGACACTTGCCAGAATTTTGCCGACTGTCTCTATCACTCTATGGAAGTAGCTGGAATTCGTGTTTTCAGAGACGACGATAAGATCAGAAAAGGCGAAGCAATCAGAGGCGAACTGGAGCGTGCGATCAAGAGCTCCTCAATTTGTATACCCATCTTCTCTAGAAACTACGCATCTAGTGCATGGTGTCTTCGTGAGCTTGCAATCATGGTGGATTGCAAAGCAATGATCCTGCCAGTTTTCTTTGACGTGAATCCTGATGATGTCAAGCTCAAAACTGAGCTATACCACGTCGCTCTAGAGAAGCACGAGCAGAAGTTTGACAGCGATGTCGTGAAGAGATGGAAGGAAGCTCTGGGGAAGGTTGCTCGGATGAAAGGATGGGATCTCAAAGATAGAGGGTAGAGTTTTGAGCTTTGCTTATATTTTCTTTTTAAATATTGATATAGATTTAAAGAACAAGAAATACTCTTCTCCTCTCATCAAAAGTTAAAACTATCAATTGTTCTCTTTTTTATCAAGTTGTGACTCAATCCACATAGTGTTAATAAGTACCCCACTACACATCCATTTAATTAAATAATCAATCAGTTTCTTACAAAACTAGATGATTTCTCTACAAAGATATGACAAATTCAATTTGAATCGATAAATTGATTTGCATCTTTTAAATAGAGAAAAAAAATACTTTTTTTAATTTACTCATATTTATAAAATATTTTTTTAGTAGGGAACTGGTCGCCCCGCCTCTCCCTCTCCCGTTGCTGGTTTTATAATATCTAATATTGCTGGGCTATTTTTGAGCTTGATAGGTACCATGGTGAACTCATTAGATCAATCGTTGCTGTGGTTTTGAACAAGCTGGATAAAAGAGACAAAAATCTACCCGATCATTTGGTCAGAATTCAGGATTGTGTTAAAGAGGTCATGCGCTTGTTAGATGAAGGTTCTCCTGATGTGCGTTGTTGACACCTATTTTTAATTTGCCCAAAATTAATTGCACAAAATTGAGGCCATGTTATTGTAAATCTGATACTTATTCTGAACTAATTTATTCCAGGTATGTTTATTCTGGAAGCTCAGAAGGAAGTTATTTAGACTTTACAAGCTGGCAAATATCTTATTGAAGACCCACATAATCTTAATTCTGAAGTTTCAAACGCTGAAATTGTTCAGACGCAGAAATTATTCAGATGCAGACGAAGAAATTATTCAGAAGCAGACGCAGAAGTTCTTCAGACACAGACGCAGAAGTTCTTCAGATGCAGACGCAGAATTTCTTCAGACGCAGACGCAAAATTCAGAACGAGACAAAACAGCTAGTGATCTGGTATGGATTTCACAGAAGGAAAGCTTTGATCTCAATCAAATTGATTGACAATCAAACACTACGACAAGCATGCATTACAACGGATAAAGCTCTACTTATGGAAACCAAGATTCTGATTGTATGGGCGACCAGAATCAGCGGGATTCAGAAAATGTCATCCAACGGCTACTCAATCCTTTCTATACAAATCTGTCCAAGGTGAAGATTGGAAGATGATCCTCTGAATGCTGTCCAACGGCTAGTTTGGAAGTAGAGGAGTATTTAAGGAGATCAACGAGCAGCAGAAGGAAGTATATAATCAAGAATCATCAAGTCCAAAGTCTGAGCATACTCCGATCATTTCTCTTGTCTTTCTGAGCCATACATTAAAATCTTGAGGGACACTTTGTAAAAGTGATTGTGTGAGATAGAGAGTCCTATCATACACAAGAGTGCTAACACTCAGATTGTAATTCCTCTTGATTACATAGTGAAATCCAGCCAGTAGGCTGTCAGCGTGGGAGAGTGGACGTAGACTTGCTATAAGCCGAACCACTATAAACTTGTGTGCAGTTTTTCTATCCCTCATCTCTTACTTTACACACTGCACATCAAGAGCACCGTCTATACAATCTGTCTTGAATCTGAATTTTATTCAGACTATTCTATGATTTGTTTTGTTTCCGCATAAATTCTCAAAATTGTTTAAGATCACATATTCACCCCTCTCTAGGTGATCCTTGCTAGCTACATCACTCGGTAATTTCTAGTCGTTCTTGACAAATACTGGAGTTCATGGTGAATCAGAGTCTTGCCTGAACCTGTCACCAAGTACACTAGTGCAGCATGTGATACCTTAATGGCCATCTCTAACGCCTCCACCTGATAACTCTTTTCTTTTTCTTTTCCTTTTTACAATCATCAATGCCCAAAAAATCATCAGCCCAAATTACCAAATTGAAAAAGGGTTAACTAGAAAGGGACAGTCTTGGCAGAATTGGATGATCATGTGAGATTGGATTGTCAAACAAGAGTAGAAGAGGAAAAAGGAAATGGCCATCCGGGAAAGGGAAGAAGATCGGCAGAGAGCTGCACATTGGCCTGTACGTCCATGGAACCAAAATTTTTAAGTCGTTCACGACAGATTCTGGTTCTGGTTCCAACGACAGATTCCAACCAATGCGCATCATTAAACGCGAACCCAACATGAGAACCCGAAGATGTTCAAAACCCAGTGAAACCAGCCTGAATCACACCACCCATGCTTCGCGGATCACGCCCAGTAGCCCCCCCACCCAACAGAAGTGGCCAGGACATCAAGAAAACGGAAACCATAACAACCCCACCTCCCCATTGGGGACAAACTGCAACCCAGCAACGGTCTCGCGAGAAAAGAGTCAGCGGACGACACGCATTACCTGAAATCTCCAAATTTGTCCACCGTGCACACGAACTACGCCGGCTTCCGGCAGCTCCACACGAACCCAATATCAATCTCTCTCTCTCTCTCTCGGTGTGGACTGGACTGGTGGTTATGGATGCCGGCGAGCTGCGGAGAGAGACATGGATCTCTCTCTCTCCTTGTGTCTCTCTCTGTGGGTTGAGGTTGTACAGTGTGATAGAAATCGCTGGAAGCTTTCTTCTACGTGGAGGAGATTCGAGGGAGAGTGACGAGTAAAGAGGGAGGGGGTGTTTTCATTCTCTCTTTAATTAATGTCATGTTTGAAAAATTCCAAAAAAAAAAACATTAAAAATCTCAAATTATGTCGTTCGTCGAGCCATAACTGTTTTTTTTAATGATACCAAAATCAAACTTATAACATATGGCACATTTATCCTCTACCATTACAGTTTTCTCAAAGAGCCACATTAAAATCCTACGCGGCGATTAACATGGTATTGTTAATGTTTTTTCAGAATAAGTGATGCCACATCAGAGATAGATAAACAAAAAAGAAGAACTAAAAAGATTAAAAAAAAAAGAAAGTTCTGACCAGAGGAGAACGAGATTGCAGATGGTCGAGGGTATCTAAGGGCCATTTGTCCTCCGCCCTTTGGTCACCGCACAATATGATTTCCTCCTCGAGTGCGCCCCGAAATCGTCCGAAGGCCTGCGAGGTTTGACGGCCCTCACCGGCAAGTCGGAATGGGAGACACCCTCGACCATCTACAATCTCACTCTCCTCTAGTCTCAAACTTTCTTCTTTTTTTGTTTTGATTTTCGGTTTTTCGTTTTTAATAATCTTTATTCTGATGTGGCGCTCATGTGGCACCAATTATTCTCGAAAAAACATTACTAATGCCACATCGGCCACCATGTAGGATTTTGAACGGCAGTGTTTGACAAAACTGCAACGGAGGCTAAATGTGCCACACGAGTACAAATTTAAAGTTTTAGACGTCACAAAAAGAGAGTTAGGAATAAACGTGTCATAGTGGCCACAGTTTGAGATTTTTTATGGCTTTTTTCGTAAATTTTAATTTGTTTGCTTACTTATAATAAGTTCTTGATTAATTATAGACATATACAAGACGATTTCTTACAAATTGACTGCACAAACTAATCTTCCCTGTACAGATAGATCCCAGTTAGGATGAGAATTCTGGGATGATCATTATCTAATAAAGGATCTTGGAGTCCATCAGTTGTTCTATTCCTACAAGCTTTCCTCAATCCCTATCTTTATTAAGAGGAACTATCTCTCAACTTTACTCACTTCCTCCTATCTTCATTAGAAGTCACCCTTCCTCAGGAATGTTGCACATGACCGACTCCTTGTGGGAGTAGAATTGGTTTGTCCAGATTGAAGAAACATCTCCACACCAACGCCTATATATACAGTCTTGACCCTCCATCCACGTCAAATCTACGTTTGTGTCTTCTGTAGTTTGTTCGAGATGGCTGGTGGTTTCGGCATCCAAAGCGGCGGCGTTCCCAAGCATTATCCTGGGAAAGTCACGGCTTACATTCTCATCACATGCATCGCCGCCGCCATGGGCGGGCTGATATTTGCATATGACATCGGTATTTCAGGTAATGCTTTATATCAGCCTTTTCTCTCTTCTGTCATTCATGTTGAAACTTCAGATTTTATTGTGACTAAGATTCTCTCTTGTAAATCATTCGCGTAGGCAGCGTGACGTTCATGCCTCCATTCCTGAGGAGGTTCTTCCCTGCCGTGTACCAGAAGGAGGCGCTGGACAAGTCGACGAACCAATACTGCAAGTTCGACAACTTCACGCTGACGATGTTCACATCGTCGCTCTACTTGGCGGCGCTCGTGGCTTCGTTGGGTGCATCCAAGGTGACGAGGAGCTTGGGTCGAAGGTGGTCCATGTTGCTGGGCGGCACCATTTTCCTCTACGGCGCTCTCATAAATGCTGCCGCCCAGAACATCGTCATGCTGATCATTGGCCGGATTCTGCTCAGTGTCGGAGTCGGCTTCACCATTAAGGTAAAACTCCTTGATGACTGCGCTATTTTTGTAACAAGTTTTCTTTATTCATCGTATCATAGGTTACATGTATCTATATACGCTTGACGAGATTTGATGATGATGCCTATAGACTATCAGTTGCATTTAATTATTTATATAGACTTCAATCAACCGTAATTGCATAATTGCAATTATGAGTTGTGCTTGAGATTGCAAAGAAATCGACCTAACCTAACATGACTGTAATTGAAATTCACAGTCCGTGCTGCTCTACGTGTCAGAGATGGCGCCATACAAGCACCACGGCACGCTCAACGTGCTCTTCCATCTGTCCATCGCGGTGGGCAACCTGTGCGATGCTTTGTCTTATGTGGCATGATCGGCGCTGAAGTAGACTATCTTTTATAATTTTTATTTAAATTTATGAATTTATGAATTATCTTTTTTTCTTTTTCGGTTGGACTCTGCCGTTGGAATCAGGACCATTTGATAAAAAAATGGCGATGCTTTGTCTTGAACCAGAACAACGGCGATGCTTTGTCTTGCCATCCTTTGCCAGTGAGGATTATTTAATTTTCTTTGCCTGGAGAAAAAAAAATTCCTTAAAAAAAAAAACTAGAGAAAGGTGGTTGTTCTTTCTTTACGAGAAAAATAAGAGCACGATATAAGGTTGTTGTGGTAACCAGATCTGGATTAGCGTGATAAAAAGCCGTGAAATCACCCATTAAATGCCACGATGACATCCTATTTGGCCGTCCAAAATAGAAGAATAAGATAGCTATTTTCTGAAAATTTCTCAAAAAGAAAGCTTGAAATGGAAGGAAAAAACAGAAAGACAAATCAAATAAGAGCTGTTGCAATGGGGTGGGCATTTTTGCTTCCGTTGCTGCTTTAATTGAGACAAAGAAAATTTAAATTATTAGAAAGTTTTATCTTAAAAAAAAAGTATTTGATAGTTTTCCTTTAAATTAATACTCGAAATCTAACCTATATATAACATACTTTACTTAAGTTACTACATGAATGAAATGCTTTCTTTATCTTACATTAGAAAAGATCATTACACGCATCGGATCTTTGTGGAATCATACATTCAGGCACACCACGGGTAATTTCATATGGACAGATGGAGTCCTCACTTATTGAATAGAAAAGAATGTAAAATGGAAGCGCGGTCCCTTGAACTAAGAAATTGCACATGTCCTAGTAAGCACCTGAACACGATGCGTCCTGACGTAGATTGATTCCGTAAAAGAGCGTGAAAGTTTCCCAAAATACTTGCTTTATACTTTCCTATTGTTCTATCGATCAATTTATGTAATTGTTCATCTTGCATTCAGTGACGGCGAATGCACATGCCACGAAAACAATGACAGTTGCATTTGAGATGACGATGACAACATCATTCGTTACTAACTTGCATGGTGTGCGCTCTTGTTATTAGATCATACATGATTGAAAACTGGTCGATATTAAGCTCCAATTAAGCCTATGAAATTAAACAGAGTTTTAAGGGGATAAGTACAGCGCAAGTGCCATAACTTTTGTACGGAGGACACTTAAGTGCCATAACTTTTTTTTGGCTCACTTGAGTGCCATAACTTTCAAAAAAAATGATCACTCAAGTGTCACTTACGAGTTGATCGTGAGGGCTCGAAACCGCGGTTTTTCCGGTCGAACGGTGACCTTCCCGGCGAGGCGAGCACCACCAACTTGAAGAGGGGGTGTCGGTGAATCATTACATGGCCTCCGTTTGTCTCGAAATTTCCGTTTTAGCCTCCATTGACGAAGGTAAAAATGCTTCGTAGTCACACAAATCGGCTTGATAAATATGTGACTACGAAGCATTTTTACCTTCATCAACAGAGACTAAAACGGAAATTTCGAGACTAACAGAGGCCATAGAATGATTCACCGACACCCTCTCTTCAATTTGGTGGTGCTCGCCTTGTCGGGAAGGTCACCGTTTGGCTGGAAAAGCCGCGGTTTCGGGCCCTTACGACTAACCCCTCTGACAAGCTGGTCGTGAGGGCCCGAAACCGCGACTTTTCCGATCGAACGGTGACCTTCCCGGCGAGGTGAGCACCACCAGCTTGAAGAGGGGGTGTCGGTGAATCATTCCATGGCCTCCGTTCGTCTCGAAATTTCCGTTTTAGCCTCCGTTGATGAAGGTAAAAATGCTTCGTAGTCACACAAATCGGCTCGATAAATTGTGACTACGAAGCATTTTTACCTTCGTCAACGGAGGCTAAAACGGAAATTTCGAGACGAACGGAGGCCATGGAATGATTCACCGACACCCCCTCTTCAAGCTGGTGGTGCTCGCCTCGCCGGGAAGGTCACCGTTCGACCGGAAAAGCCGCGGTTTCGGGCCCTCACGATCAGCTCATAAGTGGCACTTGAGTGATCATTTTTTTGAAAGTCATGGTACTCAAGTGAGCCAAAAAAGAGTTATGGCATTTAAGTGTCCTCCGTACAAAAGTTATGGCACTTGCGCTGTACTTACCCCGAGTTTTAAGTATAGTTTTCCCATGTTTTAAAGTGTTATTGTTATAAAGATAAAACGGGATATTCCCAAAGCCATGCACGCAATTATTAGATGGGGTTCACTACACGTTGTGCTTTGAAAACACATAAAAATCTTATATATCACTTGGTGAAAAAATTGCTGAGGTTTGAATTGATGCATATGATTTCAAAAGGGAAAAATGTAATTTATTTTGCCTCCATTCCTTTTCATTCAAAAAAAGGATGGGAAGGGAAGACCAGCGCTCGCGATTCCCCTTTTGGTATTATTATAAGAGTTCCGTACTTGTTATGGAATGTTTGATTTGAGTCACAGCTATTACATATCACCTGCAATCCAAAAGTCCAAGGTTGACAAGGTCTCTCAACAATCTCACCATCTGACCAAAAAAAAAAAAACAATCTCACCAAAATGTTAGAAACCAAAAAATTTCTCCGCACGAATTATACCGCAATTAGGTAACAAAATTTCTCAAGACTGAGTCCCTAGTTTGGTCCTCCACCTCTTTTTTTCTTTAGTGAATGTCAAAGAAGAAATTTTTTTTTGGTCAAGATGTCAAAGAAGAATTTAATTGGTCACTTATGTTTGATTTCTTTTTTCCGTTGATTTATTCTTATTTTTTCCATTTTGGATTTGTCACTTGTGATTGAGTGCTTGTTGTAAGTTATTTCCAAGGAATCCACATCGTGCAGACTCCTCCTTTCGTAATACGAATTATATATCTATGCTTATGATGACGTCCCCACCTTTTCCAAATTTCACTCTTGCACGGCATGCTCTCTCGTTATTAGATCGTACACAGTTGAAAATCTCTCGAGGATTAAGCTCCATTCAAACCTATGAAATTAGATAGAGTTTTAGGTTTCTTTTTTTCCATCTTTCAAGTGCTATTGTTATAAAGAGAAAAAATCGCAAAATTCGCAACACTATGCATGTGGCTATTAGATAGGGTGCAATAGATGTCGTGATTCAAAAACACATAAAATTCTTATATATCACTTAGTGAAAAAATAGCTGAAAAAAGAAATGATGTGTCATGATTCCCAAAAGGACAAGTTAAATTCGTTTTGCAACTAATCCTTTTCTTTCGGGAAAAGAGTGGGGAGGGGTGACCAGCACTATTTATCCCATTTGGGCATTCTCGTAAGGTTCCATACTTGCTATAGAAAGTTTAGTTTGACTCGCAACTACCCCGCACCACCCACAATCTAAAGATCCGAGATTGGCGAGGTCGACCAAAAAATGTTACCAACCAAAAATTCTCTTCACACGAGTTGTGGTGCGATTAGGTAACGCATCACGCAATGACTACAGAGTGAGGTTGCAGTTGAATGCTGGGTTTTGGTACGGTGAAGAAATGATGTTAAGACCGAGTCCCAATTTTGATGCCCACCTTCCACCTCTCATTTTTTATTTACTGTTGTCGCGACCTATCCATCCCGATTGGGCTAGGCCAATAGGTATTTGTCGATGGATATGAACAACGATTGGTTCGTATGAAGGACAAACCAAATGGTTCATTAATCCAATAACCGAGGCACTCCCGATCCTCATACCTCGCGTGACGAGAATTGTCTAATTTACGCATTTGATTGGAGTTGCCACTAGACATGATCAAGGGTCGGCTAGAAACCCTAATCGAGACGCGGGAATGTTGTCTCGATAAGCGCAAAAAAAAAGATTCTAAAATTCGAAAACTTGATTACACTAGCGATCTAACTAGTGCCCTTTCGGTACCTAAACTTGAATTTGTACAAACTAACGTAGCAGGCATCCTATCGAAAAAGCTAAGATTCCACCTAACCGTTCTAAAAATAGAAAATTAACAATCAATGTATTAAAAATGCGCAATCAAATAATCATGAAAAAAATAAACAACCAGCGACCTCGCATTGTCTCTAAAAAGAAAATGCAATCAAAAGCCCTAAAGTAAAGCCCTAATGGTTTATCCGATTTTTGGGAACTTTTTTAAAGGGTTTTCTCAATTTTTTAAGAGTTTTCAAACTAAGTCTAGAATAAAATTAACACCAAAATCTAGTGAAATTAAGCCAAAAAATGATTTTTGAACAATTCCTAATTTCCTGGATTTTTTGGAATTTTTCTGGATTTTTCTGAAATTTTTTTAATTTTTAATGTATTTTCTAAAATTTTTAATGTTTTTTAATTTTTCAGATTTTTTAATATTTTTTGGGCTTTTTAAAAATTTTCGAATTTTTTTGGAATTTTTAATATTTTAATATATATATTTTTTGAATATTTTTATTAATTAAAAAAGATTCCTGACCAGGTCCCCGACCCGATCCGCCCCGGATTATGACCCGCCCGGGATCCCCCTTTTTTCTATTTCTTTTCTACTTCTCTTTTTCCTTTTCTTTTCTAAATTTTTTTATCCTTTTCTTTTCTATTTCTCTTTTTCCTTTTCTATTTTTCTTTTTTCCTATTTCTCTTTTCTCTTTATTTTTTATTCCCTTTTTGTTTTCTTCTGCCAGGACGTCTTCTTGGGGACGTCCTCTGCTTCTTCACCGTGAGTGTCTTTCCACGAGTCTACGCCCCCATCCTTTCTTCGCCTCCGACCGTCGGCGCGTGTCGCCACCGCCAGCCTTACATTTTCACCGCCGGCCATCACAAACCACCGGACCGTCGGCTAACTCCGGCCACAAAAAATGACACCGGAGACCAAACACCGATATCGACTTCGGTTTTTTATATCTCCAAATCTCAACCAAATCTAAAACTCTAAATCTATACTCACATAAAACACACGAAACAAGGATGGGAAACTGACCACGGCGGACTCTTACCTCGGGCAATGCTCCGGTGAGAGGAGTGAGTCTCCGGAAGGTGCTCGTCCA